GAGGCTTGGAGCTCCTGGGCGCTTGCATCTCCTCGTGGCTTGGTGCGGCTAGAGTTCTATGGCGCCCCTTGTTGTTTGGCAAGGCGTCTAGGGAAACCAAAGAGGAACCATTTCCCACAACTCTAGGGGGTGAATCCTCATTTTTGTTCAACCATTGTTCTTTGTAAAAACCGGCTGTGTCCTGTGGGTCTTTTGATGGTTTCCTCAAGACGGATCCCTGCAAAGAATGGGAAAGCTTCTAACTTCAACAGGGACGGGCACAATTGCCCCTTGCCAAAGGAATGTAGCATGATAGTCTTCAAAACGGGGCCTCGGCCCGGGCGTTTCATGTCGAAACTTTGTTTGGGAACCCTCCAACCTTAACCTGCAGTTGCACCAAAAGCTTCAACAGCACACTCCAGTGAGGTTCAACTTCTTAAGCTTCACCCATTTAATCTGAAGCTCCAACCCGTTAGCCTTTCATTTTAGTGGCCAACCTCTTCAACCCTTTCAACTCGCTAGCTCCCAATGATTCAAGCCAGGCCAGTGATTTCTTTTCCCAGCTGCAATTTTGTTGCTGAACGCAAGGCTGCCGGGGATTTCCTTTGCCATGGTCCCTTTCCCATGCATGTGCCTCTGTGTGGACGGGGAGGCGGCACATGATGTGCTTTCCCCCAGACTGTACTCACTGGCGATGCCCCTGGTCCAAGAGTGGCACAAAAACCGTTAAATCGTAATCCACCGAGTAACGAATCATATGAAGTTGCTCGAGGCACTTTTTTCACTATGGCGCTTCGTTTTTGTACAATTTGAATTTATACTTTAAGAAGGGCAGTACTGAACATTATCCTAATATGGGCTGTGGGAAGTATAGTATTGGTTTAGTACTGTGTCAAAGAAATGCAAGAAGGGGTTGTTTTTTCAGCTCTTGCCTGCACATACATATTTATCAACGGGTGGACTTAATCATAGGGGGAATGGATGAACACATACTCCTTGATCTGGTTCTGCCTGGAAAATCTATTGGCCAGAACTCGGAAGTCATCCCTAGCCATGGCCACTAGAGCGTAGTTGTACATACCCCTTGTTTAGCCGGCCCCCTTGTTGCCACTTGTGGGTAGATGAATTTGCTTGGCTTGTGGCTTTTGAAGGGAAACCAGCGGGAAAGCCACCATTTTGGGGGTTCAACCTTAAACCAGACCCAAGTAGCAATCAGCTTGAAGACGAGGCACCCGGTCGTCTTCAGCGCAGTTCCCGAGTACTTTGCTCTGCCCGCACACTTGGCCGGATCGGGCGGATCGGGTTGTGCACACTACAAGTCTTGTTTGGACATCTGACGAATTGATGTATTCTGTTCATAGATGAGGTACATCTTGTTGTAGCTTTTCTAGAGCAATTGAATATTGTTGGCCGCTCATCACTTGGTGATGTTGTTATGGAACTGCGCCATCTGCCAATTCGAATGCAGCACCAACAAGCCTTGCGCAGAGAACTGACCAATGATGAAGGGTCCTCCGCAAAAGCATTGCGGACGTGCTTGGTTGAGGATTGGGTGTTGCATGGTGTGGCATTTTTGGGGCTTCATAGAAAGGCAATCTGCCCGTCTTTCCAGCAATGGAAGTGGATTTGGGGGCTTCCCCAAAAGGAGAGCAGTCTTCCAAATTCTTCTCAGCATCCATGTTTGTTGGAGGCATGGTATGTGTGCAATCTGCCTGCAACTACTTGCCGGATGAATCCTTTTTTAGCGGGTTGCTCGACATTTCCAGAAGTGTAATTCCCCTGCAGGGGTAACAAATTCCAGGCTGCACAATGTGATCAGGTATCAGAATCAACATTTCAGGCAAGTGTTGCTAGCTATATCCATCAGTGGACGGACTGTTGGCTTTGCGCCCCGTTTTTTGTCTTCCCGATTGTTTGTCCGAGCCTCACCGTGAACAGGAGATGCGCTGCGCCCCTTACGGATTCGGAGCCCATGAAACCTTTTTTTTGGATCTTCAAGTTTGGTTTAGCCCTTTGGGGAGGGCTCCCTGGGGATTGGTTGCTTTTGAAAGGGACGCGACAAGAAGCCCAATTTGCAAGCCAGTTTGACGAAAAATTCGGAGAAACCCTTTGAAAGCTTATATTGCAGGTCATACTTTCATGGCATGCCTTACCTCCTTTCGCCGGCTGAATCACCGCCAAGGTTGCGGCACAACGCCCGGAGCTCAGGAACCGCACTCCGCTCCGCGGCTCCCAGGAATTGTCGCAGGCGCGAATTTTAAGGGTCCAACAGATTGCTATTTGGCACCCTTGATACCAACAATCCATGTGGAGAAGGTGGGCTTTGGACTCCTGGACTCCCTTTCAACAACGCTATCCTGCAAGGATTTGTTCGCCAAGGGTGACACGATAAGGTGTCTTTCGTTGAGCCGGAGCGCCCTTGAGGCTGGTTGAAGCCGCGCATTTTGAAGTTGGCCAGCGGGGGTGGGAGGGCCTTTGGATCTGTGGGAGGCTACTTGGTTTCCCTGCGATTCACAGCGCCCCGAAATCTTGAACTTCAGGATTGCCGTGCTTAGTTTCTTTCCATTTGCTTAAGAATATGTTCTATTTTCCCCGCTGGCTTTGAAAGAGAATCTATATCACAACTGGCAATAAGTTGTGAACTTTTTAGGGGGGCTTAAGCAATGCAAGTTCCAGGCTGCCTCAATTAGTAGAACTTGTACTGTGAAAGGCTCTGCGGGTGGGGAAGCTGAAGCCTTGATGAAGTGAGAGTCAGGTTTGCGCGGCCTTGCTGAAGAACCTTCGCGGCTGCTTCGACTTCGCAATCTTGCCGGGGCGCTTGTTTGGTTCAGGATACATTGGGGTTGGGGGGCTGGGGGGTGGGGAGAAACTTCGATGAAAAGATGCATAGGTCAAGTTGGGTCCGGGGACCGGGGACCGCTGATTTCAACGACAGAGACCTCCGCCAGTTCTTTTTTATGGTGAACAAATCAACACATGAATTATCAATAGGCAGGGGGACAGATAGACATAAACACGTGCATTTCCACTTCTAGGGGTTTTCTGCATCAGCTTGCAAATATGTTGCAGGGGCTTCGAAAGGTCACGTCGCACATTGTTTATGTCACGGTCCTTTGTGTCCTTCTTAAAAGCTGTGTTGAGCAATGACCTTGGATGCACACTTGAGATGTGCCGGACCCATGGATATCTTCAGCTTCGGTGGACCTATTTTCTTCTTCACGCAGCCCATAGAATAGAGCAATACCTTTGGTTGTCAATTCTAGTTGACTTTCTCTATTTGGGCCGCTTCCGCACATGTCTCACGCAATAGGGCACTTGTTAACATTTTACCCAAACCTAATTAAGTCCATCGCGGTACCGCTCTCACGGAGGCTCCGAGTTTCCCGCCATGCGCCGAGGATTCGGTCCGTGCATTTACTGCAGCAGGCTGGGTGCGGCATAGGGCTTTGGGGGCTTGTAAATGGATACATATTAACAGCTGGAGGCTTTGGGATTTGTGGAGCTGCCTTTTGCTTAGCGGTTTAGTGACTATAGTGGCGGCTACAGCTGTACATGAACCCCTGGTACGTGCTATTTCACTGTTGATGCAATTGCCTCCGCCCTTTGATGGTACGTACACTGGAACGTTGACCCTTGAAGTGGGGAACCGGCGCAGTTCAAACCAAAACGAAGGCTTGAAAAGCTCCAGGTGCCCCTGGCTAACCTGTGGGACCCTTTGGGACCCTCTGCCTTTGTCGACTATCGCCTTGAGATCTTCAAGTTCCCGGCGCTGGGCTCGCAGATGCTGCCGGAGCTTCAGGTGAGCGATTGGCCGGGGGAGATTGGGGGGGGGTCCAGCACCTCTTCTTTTTGGGGGAAAGCGCGATGTAGAGCGGCTAGTTTTTTAGGGCAGAGTTAGTGGTTGAGGAACAGTTGTGAGACCTTTGTATACTTTTGTGCGTTTCGCAAGGCTCACATGGGTGAAGCAGTTGCCAGGCCCCAGATTTAGCACGTGGGATGGGCGCCTTCAATATCCTTCAATGATAAGCGTGGTAAGCCAGCGGCCATGGGGGCTCATGTGATATGTTTCCGCGTCAAAGTAAACTGTCAGATTTCTATGGGTGACTCGTAGTTTGTTTTGTTTTTCCCCCGAGGGGTACTTAAAGGCCACATTTAGTCAGAAGATGTCGCGCTTTCCTGAGGCTTGCTTGAGACTGGAGTTGCCTTTCCCATGTTTCTCCTTGGTTAAATGGAACACATATAACTCGTCTTTTCGCAGCACCTGAATCAAATCAGCTTGTTTCAGTATGGGCGGGAGAATGGAGGGGCAATAGCTCCGAGGCGTGATTCAACTTGGCATTAGTTTGTCTCCACGTAGGGGACCCTCCAAGTTTGGGTTAGCTTTTCGAACCTGCAAAGGCGACTTCACGCAAGACTGCCATCTCCTTGGCCTAGGTGCTCTCAAGAGCTTTCTGTTTGACCCGTCCCAAGACGGGGGGTGGGGGAAAACCCCCTCCAAGAGTGGTCTGAAGCGCCACCGATCAAAAGCAATCAGGGGTTCTACTGAGAATGCAAGCCGTGGTTACCTCCAGCCTCTCCTCTCTCCCTGAATTCCAGTTCGGACGTCAAACATTTTGGGTGTGGACTGTTTTGTGTTAAATAGCAAGTTTGAACTTTCGTTTTTAACAAATCTGCTGTGAGACCTGACAGGGTGTCTAGTTGACAGTCCCAGTCCAGGTATTTTGTTAATAGATTCTATGTTTGAAAGGAAGGTGGAAGTAGCTTTCCTGTACTGACACTTATGTTTGTGCTCGGGTACAAATTGTGATACAAGTTTGCTGAGAACAATCTGCGCCAAGATGCTCCTGAGCCTCTCAACATGGACTTTCTTCTGGTGAAGCAACAGGAAACCTTACGGTTTTAGGCCCCCCCATTTTGAGAAACACCCAAGGCTCATGTCCGGGAAGCGCCCCAGCGCGCCTTTGGCTCAAAGAAGCGCCCGGCGCTGGCGCCGCGGGCGGCGCCTTTCGAAAGGCGGAGCCATGGAGGTGACGCAGGTGAAGTCCACCAGCAGCAACGGAAGCACCGACTTGGAGAGGAAGCCCCTCACCCGCAGTCAAGAAGCTGCGCGCCAGCCACGCATGTCCTTTAACTGGCACCAGTGGAAGTTGTTTTGTTGTTTTTTCTCCAAAGAAACATACTATGCAACATGTATGTTTACATATGTACACATATGACATGATGTTTATGCATGTGTTTGTTGTTTGCTATTATTGAGTCACATGTCTCAGGGGTTCATGAGGTTTCCTCCTTGGCCGGGAAGCGGATAAGCAATTCCGTGAGCCAGGATGTTCGATTCCGCTTCTCATGGACCCTTTGGGGGGGGTCCCGTGTGTTCGTCGGGCAAAGCTCCTTTCCCAAAGGCCTCTCGCTCCCCAGCCGCTTCGAGGTACTGCTTTTCTCATGTGGGGGGTGCTCCGGCGGGGTGTCACGCAAGGCTAGGCAGCCTTGAGTGGGAGCGCAAGATGAGCAGCCTGGACAAGCAGGCGTGCACCCGTGCTGCGAAGCACTGGCTGGTTTTTGGTTTGACCCTAAGCCTTTTGGAGGGGACGTCTTGGGAAACCATTTTTTTTTGTGGTGCCCACAGGCAAACCGGAAGCTCACCATTTTGTGGGTTTCCCTATTTTGAGACAATCCCATTCATTGCCCTAGCAAAGTATATGACGAGGGGAAAGCAAGGTCGGGTTGGTGCCACAAGTCAGTTTTTTCCCACAATTTGTTGTCGTCACTACTAGACAAGGGAAACACTGCAGGGGTCCCTTGTTGCTCGACTTTCCATGCAAGAACACGTCAAGCTTCCGACATGTCCAATCCAAAACACTTCGCAAAGACAGAACTCTTCTGTTGACAATTCCTCGGACATTGTCGTCTCGAACGCTTCCAAACCAAAACCAGGTAAGTCTAGGTTCTTCGATCCCCTGGACTCAGATGCGAACACGGGGGGGGGCCGGGGAAGCGCCGCAGGAGAGGGAGGTGCATCAGAGCCAGTTGCGGCTCATCCGAGATCACACCCTGGCCTTCGTCCGGGACCTGGCCCACCTGAAGACGGAGGCGCGACGAGCCGAGACAAGCGCTGGGAGCTGCAAATCAAGCTGTCTCCATGACGCGAAAGCGACTGGGCCATGAGCCCTGTGACGCCAAGGGTCATGAAAACTTTAGGTACTCCCAAGGGTTTTCCTACGGGCCGCTTGACAGGTTTGCGATCCTTCAGGTGGAGTTTCTGTCCCAGCAAACTTCGGTGGGGACTGGAATCCTTGAATCAAAGGGGCAAGGCACCACCTCCAAATTACCCAAGTATTGAAACAACAGTCTTTGGCCGCATTTTTGTTGGCGCCAAGAGCCAGTTGTCAACCCCAAATCACCGACTTGGCCAAGAAGCATTTGATACTTCCTTTGGGGCATTTCAGGTCTTTGGCGTTGTGTCAAGGTTAGGGGCTCGTTTCGGACAATACGCCGACATGAAACTGACCTTTGGAAGGGCCGCCGGTTTGAACATACTCATATGCTGGAAAGGGTGAGTGCCTGCGTGCGTGCGAGCATGCGTGTGCGTGCGTGAGTGGGTGGGTGGGTAGGTGGGTGGGTGGGTGTGTGTTTCTGCGTGTGTGTCTCTGCGTGTGTCTGTGCGTGCGTGCGTGCGTGCGTGCGTGCGTGCGTGCGTGCGTGCGTGCGTGCGTGTGTGCGTGCGTGCGCGTGTGTGTGTGTGTAGGTATGTGTGTGTGTGTGTGTGTGTGTGTGTGTGTGTGTGTCTGTGTGTCTGTGTGTCTGTGTGTCTGTGTGTCTGTGTGTCTGTGTGTCTGTGTGTCTGTGTGTCTGTGTGTCTGTGTGTCTGTGTGTCTGTGTGTCTGTGTGTCTGTGTGTCTGTGTGTCTGTGTGTCTGTGTGTCTGTGTGTCTGTGTGTCTGTGTGTCTGTGTGTCTGTGTGTCTGTGTGTCTGTGTGTCTGTGTGTCTGTGTGTCTGTGTCTGTGTGTCTGTGTGTCTGTGTGTCTGTGTGTCTGTGTGTCTGTGTGTCTGTGTGTCTGTGTGTCTGTGTGTCTGTGTGTCTGTGTGTCTGTGTGTCTGTGTGTCTGTGTGTCTGTGTGTCTGTGTGTCTGTGTGTCTGTGTGTCTGTGTGTGTGTGTGTGTCTGTGTGTCTGTGTGTCTGTGTGTCTGTGTGTCTGTGTGTCTGTGTGTCTGTGTGTCTGTGTGTCTGTGTGTCTGTGTGTCTGTGTGTCTGTGTGTCTGTGTGTCTGTGTGTCTGTGTGTCTGTGTGTCTGTGTGTCTGTGTGTCTGTGTGTGTGTGTCTGTGTGTCTGTGTGTGTGTGTGTGTCTGTGTGTCTGTGTGTCTGTGTGTCTGTGTGTCTGTGTGTGTCTGTGTGTGTGTGTCTGTGTGTGTCTGTGTGTCTGTGTGTCTGTGTGTCTGTGTGTCTGTGTGTCTGTGTGTCTGTGTGTCTGTGTGTCTGTGTGTCTGTGTCTGTGTCTGTGTCTGTGTCTGTGTCTGTGTCTGTGTCTGTGTGTGTTTTCAGGTGGCGAACCAGAAGCTTACGCTGCAGCAGCTTGAGGCGAACTCGAGCTCGGCAGCCTGGAATGAGGATTTCCCCAAAGGCGTCTATCAAAATCGGGGTCCTTTAAAGATGAAAGAAAAAACACCCAAGCAGAAATCAACCTGAAGGGGACTGTTATTTTGAGAGACACTCGCCAAAAGTTGTTGGTTACCCTCCCACTAACACAGCATCTGACAGGGAATGTGTTTTTTTCCCAGCTGAACCCGGGTTCAAAGTCTCCCCCAAACCCATTCTACCCTGCCTTCAACTAGCACGGCATGTAGCAGGAAATGGCCCCTTCTCAGATGCTTCCACAGCTATGTTCGTGGGAGGAAGGGTGCGTGCTTACTTCGGTTGTTGGTTACGCAGTGCGGAGCTTTTCATGTGATCCCCACTGCAAAGAAGCAGGAGGTCCCCACTTTTCGTTTGAATTGAATCTGGTTGTTTGAACTTTTAAGGCTCTGGAAATTGGACCAGCCAATTGAATGCATCAAGTGGAGCAGGTGTACATTTCGGGCCCCCATTTCGGGCCCCCCATTTCGGGCACCCTTCCGGCTCCGGAATGTGGGTACAAGGGGCACAAGGTATGGTTGTATGGCCGTTGGGGCACGCCTTCCCGTTTGTGGGTGATGGCATCAGCACAGACAATATTTGCCTGAAGCTTCGGCTTTTCATGGATATTATGTGATTTAGACAAATTCACTGCTGTTGCTCAGGTTTCCTAGGACATGGGGTTGGGATGAGCTACCCAAATTAAGTTTGATTGGGGTCTGTTTCCATAAGGACACTAATGTCACCAAAGGAGCTTGCATGCAACACCAAGTTCGTCCAATCATTCTGGCGCATAGCCTTGGGGCATGCCCGATTTTGAACACGGATGCGAGCATGATGTTGGGGAGTAAAGGAGGTTCTTCTTTCGCAAGAAACATGAGGGATCGGACTGCCCTGAGTAAGAGACACGTGGGGCGCGCCACATGTCCAATTGGTATTACCCGACTGAATGGTGTTAATGAACCTTTAGATTGTTGCCAGGTTTGTTGTTTTAATTGTGAATTCCGTAAACGTTTCTCACGGAGTTAGCTTCTGAATTGCTATCATCCGGATGCTTAGTGGTCGGTGTTATTGAAGACGGGGTGCGCGGTTTTTCCTTTCCATCGAAGCTGCCCAGGTGCGGAGCCCCGAGTTTAGCGGTGGCCGAAGGGTTCTCAATGTGTTGTACCTTTTCTTGGCGGTTCCCAGCCATCGATTTTTCAGCTTGTTCAGTGTGGGGATTTCTGCACAAAGCGGTGAACTTTTAGGACAGCCCAGCTTTGTCTAAGCAAACGGTAGGGGGTCACATCGCCGTGGTTTGGTTCGGTCAAATCTGGCAGCTAAGGACAAGTCACGTTGGGAAGCAGCCCAGAAGAAGCACATCCAGGTGGTTGATCAGCAGATGGGGGAGCTGGAGCAAAAGCAGCGGCTCATGGCCACACAGGACAAGCTGCTCGAACCGCAGGGGTACCCTCAAAGGGTGGTTTCCCTTTCAAAACGAGGTACCCTCAAAACAGACATCCAGATCTTTTTGGTATTATCTTGAAAGGAAGGGCCGCTTCCATACGACAAGTTTTTGGAACCAGTTGGTCCTACTTGAAGGGGTAGCCTGATTTTTGTTGCTAAACAAGACCATTGCTCCTTCAGGAAAGGGGGCTTTGAGAAACCTAGCAAAGAGGTCTTTGGTTAAGACCCTGCGGTCCTACTGGGTTCATCGGGGTGGCAGAACCCATTTAAGCCTTTTTCGCCATGATAGAGCCAAAGCTGCGAGGTTGTCTTCTGTGAAGGATCAGCTGGAGCAATCTTTCCAGGAGTCCCTGCAGAAGGCGAGGGGAAACCAGGGAGTGGGTTTGAGGGCGCGATCTGGTTGGGCTGGGCACTGGAAATCCCGTGAAGTCGTTCACGTGTTCAGGACCGTCGCACAGCGCGAGAGAGAGAGAGAGAGTATATCATCAATCTCTAACAAGTTGGAATGCGCTGAAATCCGTTCCCTTCTCCGCAATGCCCCAAAACAGAGTAGAACTTGGCAAACCAGATAAAATGAGCCGTTCGACTTGCTCGCGTAGTTCTGCTGGAAGGCTTCGAGAATTCTTTGCGGTGGGCAGGATTGGTTTCAAGGTGCCTTGAGAGGGTTCTCCATAGGCTCCAGGGCATGACATTGGAGGCTTTGTGTTGGATCAAGATGCGCGGGGTGAAGACCAGATGAGGAGTTGTCCAAAGTGCCATGGGTCCCTCGTTTGCAAAACGCGTGGTATTTGTGCCTTCTCAAAGCCTGTATCCCTGAAGTTGAGCCCCTTACAAAGACTGGTTGCGACCTTCACGGTGAAGGTTCCTTGTCGGGATCCATTTATTGCACATGGGTTTCCTTTGGGGGCCCCTTCAACCTGAAGGGGCCCTTTTGGGTCGGTACGGGCAACCATCCCTACCCCATTTTTGTATCCGTTTGTGGGGGAAAACTAGTTTCGCTCCCCCATGTGGGTTGCGATGCCTCTTTGGTACTCGCACAGCTTCCCGCGAAGCTGTGCGCGAGAGGTGCAGCAAAGCTTTGAGGAGAAGCTGCAGCGGAGGCTGGACAGCGTCCAAGCGCAGGTGCAGCGCTTCGAGCAGTCCATGCCGCTGGACCGAATTCGTCGCTCGCCGCTTTCGGGCGACAGAGTCGTTGATTTTTGCAATGGTAGCATGTTCAGAGGGGTGGCCCAGCCCTACTTGAAGGGTTGGGAGGGAGGAAGGAAGGAGGACATGAGATGTACGGGGAGGTCCACCAGGGCATGGTCCACCAGGGCGGCTTTGCGGACAATCCACCTGGTTTAGACCAGCAAATGGAGCCACCACAGCGCAATACGTGCCATCAGCAACCGTAAGGCAATTCAGGACCAGGGCTTCAACATCCAAGCACCAAAGGCACCGCAAGGGAGGTTTTTGGAGCTGCTGTTCCCCCTAACAAGGGGTTGACCCCGCGTCTTTTTCAGGGGTGATGCCGCTTTCGCGTGGCTTCCGCTGTTGCGTGGCCCGAAGGTCTGAGCTTCACGAGCCCTTGTCGGCACTGCGCCCGCTGCTGCAGCTGGATCTGGCTCCTTGACACATGTGCGGGGTGTTGCTTCGTTTGACTTTCCAGCAAGCCCAGCCGAGCGCTTTTTTTTTGGCAGGCAGTCCTAGAAAGACGGCCTCAAAAGGACCAGACAAGTTGTTTGCCGTTCGGTTTCCAAGGGTTTGGAGGAGCAAGCTTAAGGTTGCACATTGTCACATTGCAACGTGTTGATGTCTGTGGGATTCTTCTCCACCACGGACCATCCTTCAGCACTGTCCTGAGTACTACCAGGGCACCAGCTAACCCGGGCTTTGACGCATTCTTGTCAGAGACGATAATAATGGATGTGTCTTGGTACATTTCTCGGGGCAGGAGACCATTGAAGAATTACGAGCCGCTGCAGGCCTTTGTCCCCATCATGTTGTGCCTGAGTGGCTTAGGCAATTGCTCGCATAGTGTGCCCGCGATCGTGACTCGATTTGGTGTTCAGGTGCAAGAACAATCCCACTTTAATTATTCAGGCTCCTAAATTATCACTCCCCGCGTTCCTGGACTTTGTACTTTTTGGGAAGGCCATTTTGGTATTGATTCAAAAGTTCGGACTTGTTTGGCCAATCGACTCAGAAAGTGAGAAACCTTCTGTGCCAAATGCGATCTTGAGTTCCCGGGCCGTGCATCCGCAACCGGTTCCATTTGCCGTCCGATTCGGAGGATCAGTCGCTGCAGAAGCACCGGGAGAGGCACTCAGAGCTGCAGGGCCAGTTGGAGACCATGAAGCTGAGCCTTCAGGCCGATGGCCGGCTGGCAGGGTATCTGCATCGCCCATCTCCCGCTTGTTTTTGTGTGGGCTCGGTTTTCCTACACTTTGTGGCTGGGGTGGGGAAAACGGGAAACCAAAAGGACAACCACAACTTTAGGGGTCCAAGTCCCTATTTTGACTCATTTTTGTCCCGAGCCCCAACTGTAGCACCCAGTGGGATTTTCCTCCTTCTGAACCGTTTGTTTAGAGGGCTTTCCTTCGAATGCAGATTGCCATGAAAACCAAAGCCCATGGGCGAGAAAGAGATGAGCCTTCTTCGTAGGCGACACCGTTTAGGATTTTTTGGGTTTCATGTGAACCTGTAGGGGAGTAAGGAGCTGTTTTGTCAACTACTACAATCATTGTTATCAATACTGTAGTTATGCCTGTTGTTTTTTTCAATACTCTTTATTTGTCCGTACCATTGTCTTTTTGCGATGCGAGGTTCAATGCTTATTTTGTTCCACGTCGCTCCGAGGTGGTTCAGAACCCGTGGCTAAGAATCCCGTCGCTGCGAGTTGTGTTCTTGCAGTTCTTTTTTTTGGAGGGGGTTCCCCTTGAAATCAAGCACTAAGCAAAGCCCAATGTTTCCATGCCGAATTGCCCCATCAGGACCTACGCATGGCTTTTCCATGCGTTCTTGATCTTTCGCTCGTGCCACTCCCTGGACATAAGCCTTTTTAAAAGCCCTTTTTAGTGGTCAATGACAAGTTTGGCTATTATACTTGTCTTTTGCCAGTCTCATCAACTGAGTTCTTTCATGTTGCACCCCAGAGAGGCGTCTGGTCAGGACCTCAGCGATGGCCACGCGCAGCTCCGGGAGAGCCATTCAGCACACAGCTCCTGTCTCACAGAGCTCCGCGACAAGCACCAGGAGAACGCCAAGTCTCAGTCCCGGAGTCCCCGTTTCGGGACCGACCAACTTGGTAAATAAACCAAGTTCCGACGTTTTTTTTGGTTGGCCAACCCCCCCCCAAACAAAAAGAAGTGAGCATCTAACAAAAATCATAGGGCCGCGGGAGGTTGTGAAGCGAACCTTGTTGGGGGCAGATGCTCCATGTTTTGGGCGCGCCCGTGTTGTGCGGGTCCTGGTTTGTGCTTTGCGTCTCTTGGCCCGATCCCCCATTTTGGGGGGGGGGGGGGGGGTTCCGCATTTTGAGACACCCATGTCATGTGAATCTTTATTGTGGCCAGAAGCTAGGCTGAAATCAATATACGGGTTGAGACTTCTAGTTGGGCAACTGGCTTTGAGTTGTCAACGGCAAAGCACAAGTGTTTAAGGCATTTTGTGGACAACGTCCAGCTGCTGAGCCGTTGTTGGTAAGATCATCTGGTGAGCCACAGAAAAGCATGCCATGGGAATACAGCGTGGTTGAGGACAATGCATGAACCCTGGATGCTCCCCAAAAGCAAACCACCTCTCCACTCGTAGCCCACCGAAAACACTTAGAAAGGTGGCGGGCTGGCCATTTGCAAACTGCCTCCCGTTTCTTGGGCTTTGCGACCGCAGCCCCTTGAACCTTTTGGAAATGAGTGTCTATCAAATCCAAAGGGTTAAGCCTTTTGCTCAGGGGGGTGGGGGGAGCAATCCAGTGTAGCTTGCATTTTGAGATATTCGCCGGAGCCCCGCACAAGTCCAGGTTTGGCTTTGCACATGGCGGACGGGACAACACATGTTCATAGGGTGCATGGTGCTTGGGGGACAGCAGTGGATCAAACGTTGCCATCGCCTTTTCAAGCTCAGAACTGGTTTTTGATTTTTGGGCAGTAGGGTTGTAATTTCGGGGACTCGGAGTGGAAGTACTCTCCAGATCACCATGGAACCCAATCTAGTTGTGGAGGAATCTCCTCTTGGAGGCTTGGAGGGACCCTCTTTTTTGGAGACTGGGGAACTGTGGTAGTGCATTTGTTTTGTGATTTTAAGGTTTGATGTCTTAAGGAAGTTGCGTGCACGCATTGCTGATGCGTGTCACCAGGGTCCCCTGTTCTGCTGTTTTGGGTTCCATGTTGCAAGGGAGTGTGGAGTTGGAGGCTGCAGTGGCAATGTCGCACCCATTGATCAGGAGGCTCAGCGCGGGCACCAGGAGCGGGTAGACGCACGCCTCTGGGTTCAAGCTTGCTGTGTGTCTTCTTGTTTTGCTTTATGGTGGACCCATATTGATGTTTGTCCTTTGATGGTTGGAAGGGAAAAGATTGCAACGCTTTTCCCCTATTTGTTTGTTTTGGGGGAAAACCTCCATCTACCCATGTATCGCACTACATTGTGGTTTTTCATTGTAGTCACCTACTGCTCGGAAGGTGCTCCAGCTTGGCAAGCTTTTGTTGGTGCTTGCATCAATTCAGAGTCACCGAAGCCAACAAGCTAGCAATCAAAGCTCCAGAGTACAGTCCAGCCAAGCTTAGCTTGAGCTCTTTGCCTTGTCAACGGAGGCCTTGGTGTGCCAACGCCTGACCAATATGGGTTGTAGTTTGCACGTGTAAAGCTGGCGCCAAGATTCGCAGGCTGGTTTGCACGCACGTCATTCCCCTAGGTCCCCCAGTAGTGTCCTTTTACCCTTTTTTTGGGGAGGGTTCCCCTGCTAAAAATCACTACAGAAAAAAGGGTACCCTTATTCTAACCTCTCTACTGGAGGACCTAGTCCCTTTTCCACGGGGCATCCCTTTGACCAGCGCCGGGAAGTAAGTTCTGCGGCGCACAGCTCTTCGCGCAGCTTCAACAGGAGCACCGTCAGGATGCGGAGACGCGGTTCGCCCAGGCGCGAGCCGTGGAAGTTCAGACTTCAAACGCCCGGTGCATCACTATTTTGGGTGGTTCCGTTTTGTTTGCCAGTGTAAAACACATATGTTGTGTTTTACATGGGGGGCTGCAACAAAAAGAACTTTTGCTGACACACCCGCGGGTGGGAAGCTATAAAAGCAGCAGAAGCCCGGCAGGGCTACTTTCCGGCAAGAAGGGCACCATTCCCCGCATTTTGCTCTGAGATTCGTGATGTTCTTGTTTTTTCTCTCCCAGTGACCAGTGGCTAGTGACTGAGCCTACGATGAAACACACCTTGCTTCTGCCGTCGCTGTGGCCTCTGTTGTGTCACTGGGGTCCTGGCCAATGGCTGTCAGGTGGATGCGGAGATCCGCAGTGCTCACGAGGCAGGAGACGTCGAGTCCGGCAAGCCGTGCAACAAGGTCTGGGGTCCACTGCGCCTGTGGTGAAAAGGTTCTAAAAGGGTGCAAGAGTCTTGGTGGTTCCCAGCCATGCCCTTAACATTTTTAGGCTGTTAAGTGTTTAGTGGGGATGTCCATCTAACCCGCTGAAAGTTGAACTTTTGGCGGGGGATCTGAGGACAGCCCAGGAGTATCAAGCAGGGGGATCAGGGGACTGTCGACTGTTTCCGCAGGCAGTTCGTGGTTGCAAGTAAAAGGGCGTCAGGATTATTTAAGAGCCAGGGGGTCACTATTCTCAATTAAAGGCAGGTGTCACAAGGTCAGTTTGAACCCTGGCTGGTGAAAGGAAACCTGTACTGTTGCTGAAGGAAAATAATTCGCTCAGTTTTAGAGCGACGCACGGATATTTGTTTTATGACCTATCCTTTGAAGATTTCAGCTTTCTACATGCAAATTCGTCGAGAACACTGTGGGCAGCACGGGCAGGCGGGGGGGGGGAGGCCTCACTTCCAGTTCATTTGGACCATACAAATGACAGGAATCCCCCTGTGACGAAGATATTTTCCCCGCTCACACTTGTTTGTACCGTTTTGTTGGTTGGCACTAGTCATGGACATGGGTTTCTCCCGACATGGGGACCCTCCCCTTTCTGGAGGTTGCAAAAACGCAAAGATGTGAACATCCAAACGGGGGTTGCCTTTGAAACAGCTTGTGAGCCTTGGTCCTGGTAAGGCTCTCAGAGGCTCACCAAAAGGTTGGGGTTTTCTGAGGCCCTGACGGGGTACCTGGGCATGATGGCTTGCAAAACCAGCGGCCGGCAAAATGTTACGATTCAGCCGAGGCCCCTTGTAATGGTGAAGTTTTTGGGCGAGCTTCCTGTAGGTGGTCCCTTCAGCTTTCGTGGACAGGCGCTCCGGGAGGTGAGCCAGCGAGCCGAGCAGGAGGGGGATCCTGACCCCTGCGGGGCTGCCGGGAGGGTTCCAGCAGCTTGAGGTTGAACATTGCCATTTGAACTTGGTTATTCCATTGTCGAATTATTGCTTGATTCATATTAATTTCTTATTTTGTTGATTTGTTCATGTCATGTGCTTTTTGTTTTTGCTGGGGGGATTCCAAAGAGATTGGCAAAGGACCTCCTTGTGGATGAGTGTGCATCAAGGGAGAAGCCATGACCAATGTTAGGAGAATATCTTGTGGATAAGTTGCAACTCTTGCATGCTTTCAGACAGTGTTTGAATCGGCAGAAACCATGGCATAGCATTGCTAACTCTTTGAGGAGGACAGCTGCTTGTGGATGGGCGTTCAAAAATACAGAAACCAACACCATCTGCTTATTTCAGATGGACAATTCACTGTGGAATGTGTGCTAAAAGTGAGCTCAAAGTCATTGCCAAGTTCCATTTGGACAATGGCTCGTGGATGGGTTTTAACAGGGATCCAAAAGAAACCATTGCACATATTCAGTCGGGCAATTCCTTGCGGAGAGATGCTGAAAAAGTAAGCGAACAGACATCGAGCGCCAGACCAATTGCTTGCGGACGGGTTTTCAAAAGAGGGAGTTGCCAATTTCAACACAACCCATACGTGGATTGTTGCTGAAAAGGAAACCTAGGCAAACAGTGCCTCAAAAAAGGAAGAGGGCCATCCAAGAAGAACCAAAAGAAATCCCATCCAAACCAACGAAAGGAGGCAGTTGTGGTGGTTGATCTATAGGAAAAGCGTAAGGCAACTTTTGTGGATTTTTTTTGTCAAATGACACATGGGAACCGTTGAAAGGTTGAAAATCCGCTGCCGTGTTGAAAGGGTTGCCAATTTCAATTAACACCCCCAGTTTTCAAAGTCAAACAATTCAGTAAAGGACTTCCGTGTAGTGTGGCAGGAATATCAGCCTTTGTTTGGGCTGCGTGCGTGTGTCATTTTTTGAGGGTACCCTTTTGTTGTGGTTTTTAACAAGGGAAACCAGAAGGAAAACCACGATTTGAGGGTTCCCTAAAACAGAACACACACACACACACACCCAAGTGATGCTTCGACACTTTGGGATGTCTCCCAGGAGCAAAAAGCGGGTCTGGAGCAGTGTCTCGCGCAGGCGGAATCGGCGGATCTGTGGAGGGACGCGGCATTTTGCTTGTTGATTACACTCGTGACGTCCGATTTTCGATTCCTAAACGCAAGGTTGCTTGCCGGAGGCGGGAAACATGTTGGTGTGCTCTTGTAGCTTGGCGGCGGATCAGCTTTTTGATCTCTTCTGTCCTTGAGTAGTTGTGTCGCCCCCTTTTAGGCTAGTTTGGTTGGAAATTGATGGCTTCCACTAGTTTGGACCTTGCGGCGAGTCCGGCGAGTCCTTTTCTCCCTTGTCCCTTATGAGCCCATGAAAACACTTGCCTTGCCCACTTGCTGATGAGTTTCCTTTTGGCGATGTTTACGACGGACATCTAGGAAGCTCTGCACTCCCCAATTCTGCGATTCTTTGCAAGGACCCCAGAAAAGGTTCACCTTGGTTTTTCCGGGTCCTTTGCCTATATTGTTCACTTTCCACGCCACTTACATCCTACATGTCAGAGCTGATGGCTCCGAAGCCTATTTCAGCGGCGACCTTTCGTGTTTCCCCTGAACTTTGTCCCGGCACGTTGTACTCCGAACAAGTGCGGAACCAGGAGCAATATCCTTGTAAAGGAACCATTTGGCCGGCGCATCCTCACTGATTTTCCACCTCCAATCCTGCAGTGGCTTGCGCGCATCGCAAGCTCGTCGTGCGAGGTGCACGAGGTGCACGGCCAGATGCAGAGTGCGCATGAGGCCTGGAAGTGCGCCGAGATGGGTTTGCCAAATTGGTGGTTTTCCATGTTGCATTGAACTTCCGACGGGTACCAAAACAGTTGTGAGGAAGAAAGGAAAAGCAAGGGGAGTTGGGGGTTACAGTTTTACAGTGGGCTGAAACAGACAAGCAGCGCCAATCAGGGAAGGAGATTCGCCAAACGATTTCCGGAAAGAACTTGTTTGTGCGATGCCCTGTTGGGTCACCAAGATTCGAAGCCCACTGACTCAGATTACATTTTGTGGGTCTAGGGGGTATGATTCCAACCTAGGCTGCTTGAATCTGATGATGCTTTCCAGGGAGGGGTGCAATTTCTGAGGAGGCTTTCCTACGGCACCTGCATAATTGGTTCAGAGTGGGGTGCTGCAATAAAACACCGCACTTGCCAGCATCATATGTAGGGTTGAGAAGCTATCAAAGGGTTCTGGCGAAAAAAAAACACGCAGTGACTTTGTACCTTGTAATTTCCTTTTCGTGTCTCTTCAAAGCCAACCGAAACACGACACCAGTCGACCAACTGCAAGGTGCATCCCCATGGAATTGGGTCCCTGGCCACCAGGACCACCGTGCAGACTTGGAGCAACGCCTCTCCCAGGTGGGGCCGGCCGGTTTCTGACTTTGGGGTTTCTTCTTCTTTTTTTTTGGGGGGGGGGGGTGCCGAGTTTCAATTGTTTTTCTATTTTTTTGGAAACCTAAAGTAAACCGCGGAGTTTAGGGGTTTCAATTCATATTTGTTTGACACTATCCCATGTTTGGATGAATTGGGTTGCCCCAGAGGTGACTGAAAACACCTTCTCTTTGGCGCACATGGCGTTTGCTTCTCTACCGACAAAATTGAAGAAATCACCTTTTGCAAGGATCGAAGGCCAGCCTAATCAAGTCGTGGCATGAGCTTGAGTTGTTCCATTAATAGTGTTGTTAAGGTTTGTGGACGTGCGTAAACAGAGAGAATATACCAATCATGTGTCTATATATATACACACATGTGGCAATATGTACTGGAGGGATCCTGAAGCAATGAAGGTCATTTATCGAAGCCTCCCTATGGTGTGCAGCATTCTGCTCAGCAAACTACTAACCACAATGTTTGCTGCTAGTTTATTCGGCTTTGTGTGCTGTGTGTTTTAGTTCGGCATTGGTAATGTGGCGTTCTCAGGGCCCGCGCACGTCTTGAGAAGCTGCCCAGACGAAGCCTAAAACAAGCCTTGATTCAGGGGCACATATTTTTTGAACAGTGGCTCAGACCAGCAGTCACGCCATTTTTCGCCAGTAAGAGGAGATCTGTACGGCTTGCAAACAGGAAGCTGTGCGTGACACTTGGCTTCCGGTTTCACAAAAAGCTTTCACGAAGGATCGGGTGACTGAAGCACTCGGCCATGCCGGTGCCGACGGCGAGCCTCGAGGAGTCACTCCTCCGCTGGCGCGCGGAGCTGCACGCAGACATGGCGCGACTGGAGGCGCGGCTCAAGGTGCTCGAGAGGCGCCTACCGGACGAACCGGAGCTTTGGTCACCGAAGCCTGTGGCTTTGGAAACTTGCCCGCAGCGGATCGACCGTGCGCATTTTAGGTCATGTTCACCTGTTATTTCTGGGGTTTTGGGCCAGCTGAGGAAGGCAACAATCTGACGAACGAGGCTCTGGAGGATGCCTTGCAGTTCCAGGTTGCCGTTTTCGACGAGGCCGAGCCCAAAGTCGCACCGGGGAACGCCCCAGAACCTGGGCCCTCTCCAGAGCCGGAAGCCGCGCACGAAGAGGAGGGCCTTGTCTACTTTGGTTCAAGTGCCTGGACGTTCCCAGTGGTCATCGGCCTAGCACCGGCTGGCTGTTGGGATGTCACGTTTGCCGTCCTGCTGTTGCTGTTGAATCTGGGCATGCAGGCCACTCACTTGCAAGCAAGTCAACCTTTCTCACATTTTGGTTCCCCTGAGCTCACGGAATTGGTCCATATATTTAATTAAGCTTCCAGAAGGCTAACCTGCTCTAGCATCCTCCAACTTGCAATTTCCCCATTGTTTTTGTGTTTTTTTTGGGGACCTACTGAGGCCATGTTCTCGTACATCATCCTGAGCGAGGATTTCATGGGCCCCGATTTCGCCTCGCAGGTGCTGGATGCGAAACGCTGGCGCACCAGCATTGCACACGACCACAAGTACCTGGACCTCGCTGGCACCAGCTTCTCAGTAAGCGAATCGACCCATTCGATCCTCAAAACCCGGCTGGTGTTCCGCAAGCTCCATTTGCAAGGCCCCATGATTGGTTATAGTAGGTTAACCTCGTATTTCTGGGTCCTCCGGGCAAGTGAGGCTTGGTCTCCCGGGTCTGTGGCCTGGATGGATCTCTGATCTTGTCCACGAATCAGGCGAATTTGGTGGGCGACATCAACAGCTTCCTGGGCTTGCAGGTGGGCCAGTTCTCCCCGGATGCTTTCCAGCCAGGGGTGCTGCTTTGCATGCTTTGCATTCTGCTCTGGAGCCTGTGTGTCTACAAGGAGCTTCGAAGTGTCGGGCACACCTTGGAGGCGTTGCTTCAGATCCCGCGCGCCAAGCGCTCGATCTTCCGGGAAAACATACTGCAGGGCCTGTCCAAGGGCCGCCTGAAGTTGCTGCTCTTTACCTTGCTGGTGCGTACCTTGATCGCTTCCGTGCTGCTGGTGAGCGGGATACAGTGGCTTGCCAAGACCACCTCCATCACCGAGCTGATGCTCAACGCGGTGGCGCTCAACGCCATCCTCGACATCGACGAGTTCCTGTTTGCTGGCTTCACCCCCGTCTCCATCCAGCTGGCCGTGGATAGACTGGAGCCCTGCAAAGTCAAGTACACCTCCAGGCGCAGCCAGGTGGAATCCGGTTTTCTATTCGCCCTGCTGGCGGGCACTGTGCTGATGCCCTACTTCTTCCTGTTGGAACCGCAGGGCGAGCTAATGCTGGCCACAAAGATGGAGATGTGTGGCGGGAACCAAACTTTTGTGGTTGGCCAAAACCAGGACACGCAAATAATCGTCGGCTTCAATACAGAGCTGGGTCATGATCCAAGCCAAGCCAGCGCGCTGGAGAAATCGGTCCAACAGCACATTTGGGCAAGTGACCACCTTGACGGTTACATCTCCTTCGCTGCGACCAAATTTGATTTCAGCCGGGATCTTTCCTCGACAATGCTAGCGGAAGCTGGGCAGTGGGCCGCCATTTGCCCTGAAAAAGAGGTTTTGACACCGGGAGGAATCCTGTACCAGGACCCCTGGGTCACTGGGATGATCGTAAGCCGCCTGCGCGCTGCCGCGCTCAGCCTGGGCCACACTCAAGGTGCGGAAACCTGTGCAGAGCTGGCTCATCTCTGCGACATGCCAAACGCGCGGTTGCTGCGCCTGATTTGCGGCGTCACGTGCCGCTGCACGGACCCTGCGTCACTGCCTTGGTTCAAGACCACGCAACAAGGTTGCGCCGACTCATGCACGGCGATTGCCAAGGCCGAGTTGAGTTCCGCGCCGTGCCAGGACAATGGCCAAGATGAGTTTTGGCTGCGCCTGTGGGACAGCTACATGCCATCGTTTTCGGCAGTCTACAACTCTAACATCACCGAGGGCGTTCTGGGCCCGACGCTGATCAACATCACCCGGGCGATGAAAGAAGTGGGTTGCCCGGCCTTGACGATGCCAGCTTTGGCCAACGAGGTGGCCACCGGGGCGCTTTGGTGCCAGGGCCACCCGCCAATCTTCCGGCCCCTCGCCTGGATTTGTCCAGAATCCTGCTGCATGTCCGAACCCAAACCTGACTATTGCCCTGGAAGTTGCACGAATTCAAGCGCCGCGACGGTGTGAAGCGGAGATCGCAAAGTGATCGCATGTGCTATTGCAGCGCGGGCAAGAAAAAAGCAGGTCACCTTCAATTGGTGATTTGGATTGATTTGAATCCATGGTGCTCGTACCACGGAATCCACACCACCACATGGGAAGCGGGGCAAGTTGATGTCACACACACACACACACACGGATGAGGCCTAATCGAAGACGGCGTAGGCCGAAGCCGGTAGAGAAATGCCATTTTGGCACAAGGATCCTTGTAGGTCAAATAGTTTGACAACATGCAACTGATTGGCGCGTCAACGTCTCCAAATCCAACCTGTCACTGGGCTGTTCAAAAGCAATCCTGAGTCCTTCCCTGGTGTCGGGATGTGTCGGGTTCAGGTCAATGGGTCATTATCCTTCTGCGGTTGGTTTAGTTTGAAATAGATGGCACCGGCTACATCTATGTTCCAGGGTCATCTATTTTTGTTGCAAAAGGTCACCTATGAATCAGGCGATTCAATGACGCAAACTGTGGCGATCCTCCGGATTGCGTTAAGCTTCGCTTAGCGCAGGTGCACGAGGCACATGGCCAGATGAAGAGCACGCACGAGGCGGGAGTTTCTGCCTTGTTTGCGCGCGCGCGCGTGCGTGCGTGCGTGCGTGCGTGTGTGCGTGTGTGTGGGTTGTGGGTGTGGTTTGTTTGTTTGTTTTGTTTTGTTTTGTTTTGTTTTGTTTTGTGTGTGTGTGTGTGTGTGTGTGTGTGTGTGTGTGTGTGTGTGTGTGTGTGATTGTTTATTTCTTTGTTTGTTTGTTATTTCTTTGTGTTTTTTCAGTTTGGTTTGGTTTGGCTTGTTTGTAGGTATGCTTGTTGGCTGGCTTGCTTTGTGTTGCTTCCGTGTGTTTCTGTGCGTTCTTTGCTTGTATTTTTGCTTTACGTTGCTTTGCTTCTTGATTGTGCCATTGTTTCCCCGAAAGCTGGCCTCCCACTCTTGGCGTTGGTTTGCACCTTGCGGGGCGGTACGTTTGGTGCAAAGTGGGGGTGCTTTGCCCCCGTGGACCACCTGGCTGGGCTTTTCTCAAAAGGGATCCAGATGAGTGGCTTCTTTTTGGCTTCCCTTCAAAACCACTTCCGTTTTGCCTCTTTTTTGGGAAGGGGGACTCCCCCTTAAAGTCAACCAACCCAAAAAGGATGCTTTTGTTCTCATGGCCACTGGGCATTTTGGACATGTTGAGAATCTCCCGGACGGCAAGGAAGGAGTGAGTTTAATTCGGATTTGTCATTTCGGCATTAGTTCGCAAGCTTTCGGGCCATGCGAAGACTTGCACCAAGACCGGGTGCCCCGCCCCCCAGAGTGTCGCAAGTGACCGTCGAAAAATCGAAATCAGAGCTTGCGAAGGAAGCTCCATCAACAGGGGCAACCAAACGGCTGATCGTCCAGGAAGCAAATACAGTCCAACCATTGGACAAGGAAAAAGAAGCAAGTCTGCTTCGGACAAGCGCATGGGCTAGTGCGCTGCGTTCAAACAACTTTGACAAAGAAAGCACAACGCAAATGGCCATGGGTCAAAGCCCCGTACCCCCAGTGAACATCCCAAACCCCACTAAAATAGACAAAAATGGGTGGTGCACTTACCCCAAAATGGTACCATTGGTTTTGACCCACGGCCAAATAACCCTTGAGAAAGGGCTGTCCGAAGCTCGCACTGTGTACGGTGCTTTCCGGGCGGGCTAGATGCTTGAAGTCAAAGTGGGAAGCCGTCATTGCATTTGACCTCACCGTCCATCCTCCATGCTTTTGGAACCCTCCCCCCTCGCCCTATTGTGGCAAACCTTCAAATTCCAACGAATCCTCCTTGGGGTTGTCCCTGTGTTTCGATTGAACAAGAAGCCTAGCAGAAATGTAAAAGGAATCCTTCCGATCGGATGGCACCAATAACCAACCAGGTTCTTGCTTTTGACACCCCATTTGGTCCCAGCTCAGATTCTTTGATTCGTTCGCCTGGTGCCAAGCACCACTCCTTCGCGTTCGCCGCGCTAGGAGCACTGTGCAGAGTTGGAGCAACGTCTCTCCCAGGCAGCCAGCCTTGCTCTTTGTAAAGAGCCTCAGGGGTCTTTCCAGGGATGGGCTTTGTACCACTTGTATAAGAGGCATACGCTGTGTCACAAGCACACTTTGGTGGTATACAAGCATCCATCCCCCCAAAGATCATAGCTGGAAATGCCCTTGACATGATGAAGGTTCCTTGTGAATTTCTCATTTCCAGAATGTTCTTCCATTCCTTCCATTAATGTTAAGATTGCTGGATCAGGCAGACGCTGAAACACATGTTTGGAATTAAATTAGGGAAACATAGTGAAATAGTTTGTGAATCAAAGTAATGAGTGAAATATTTAGTGAAACAATATTGTGAATTGGGAAACATGGATTTGCAGTTTGTGATTTTAATTAGTGAATTAAGAATGTGGGTTTCCAGGTTTGTGAATTGAGCAAAGGAGCCAATTGGTCTTTGCATCTGTGATAAGAGGGCCTGCCAGCGGCTTCCCCAACAGGCGGGGCGAGGATTCGCTAATTTATTTCACTAATTTGAATAGCAACAATTTGCCGATTTATGGAAATTGAACCTCTAAAATTCATTAATTTTCACTATTTCAATTCACTCAATTTTACTATTTTTTGCTAAATCAAATTAATGAAACTTGGTGAAATTTAGTGAGTGACATTTAGTGAAATTTAGTGAAATTTAGCGAAATTTAGCGAAATTTATGAAATTCAAAGAAATTTAGTTAGAGATTCATACAATTTCACTAAATTTCACTAAATTTCACTAATTTTCACTAAATTGGGCTTGCAACATTTAGTGACATTTAATGAATCTCTTTCTAAAATGTCATTGAATTCACGCGAAATTTAGTGATTTTTAGTGAAATTTAGTGAAATTTAGTGAAATCTAATGTAGGTTAGTGTTTTTTGCTTTTTCCTTTTAAAAAGACGGCAATCTTGAGCAAACAGTTAGTGAACAAAATAGTGAATGGAATTAGGGAAAATTAGTGAATTGGCACTTATGGAAATTGCGGGCGCTGCGTTGGGCAGATTTAGGGCCAATCGAGTCGAGGGCTTCCCTTTAGCATATAAACATTGTTTCGTTTTGTTTTGCTAAGCCTAAGGGCCTAAGCTGTAGCACAGCTCACTTGGACCTAGTCACCTCGCCATGTAGGCATATGTCCATTCACTATTCCCATTCGTTATGTCCATTTGCAATACTATTCCCATTCACTATTTCATTTGCTTATATTCACTAAATAATTATTTTGATAATTCCAATCTCTACCTCCCAGCGCCAATCTTAACATTAATGGAGAAACATTCATAGGGTACCAGGCGGGTCCTTCTTTTTTTGTTTACTTGAAGCAACATCCACACATGACAAAGGGTGCCCACAACCAAAAAACACCCAAGCAGAATTACTTGGGTTGCCCTTTTGAACAATGGCGTGGGGCTTAGCCTGCCAGCTGGCAAAAGGAGCCGCATTTCGCGGCAAAAACCATGCCAAAATCAACGTGGTCGTGTGTTTCAATAAGTTGTTTGATTCTTGGTGCTTTTCATGCCCGGGTGTCTACACGAAGCCTATGTCTTTGACAACTTGCCCGGGCGGGCAAGTCTCCTTCTCCAACCTTTCGCTGGACTGTTCCAAGGCAATACTGACTCCTCCGTTGGGTTGCCCAATTGGAGGATCTCGTGCACTAATGGCCCAAAAGCTTTTTTTGCGGAAAGATGTTATTTCAGGCTTGTTTCTTGAGGACACCTGTGATGTCTGGGTTGTTCATCAGGGAAGCCCAAGGGAAACGACGCAGTCTGGGCTTCCCCTTCCTGGGCATGTGAGCAGTGAACATAAGCAAGGGACAGATGCGTAATCAGGTGTGACCTCTCTTCAATTCTTTGCCGGTTCTTGGGTAGACTTCTTTACGTTCTAGGCTGTTCTGTGACCTATGTACAATTTAAAACTGCAATCCTCACAAAGATGCAAAGCGCAGGTGCATGAGGCACATGGCCAGATGAAGAGCGTGCACGAGGCGCGAGTGTCTGGTGTTTGTTTATTTGGTTGGTTGGTTTCATGGTTTGGTTGGTTCGCTGTTTGTGTGTCCGTTTTGTTATTTGGTTGTGTCGGTTTGTTGGTTTGTTCGCTGCCTGTGTATGTGCGAAAGTTAATCATTGTTTCTATGCGATGGTTGTTTGTACCTGTGTCGGTTTGATGGTGCATGTGTTTGTTTGCTTGTTTGCTTGTCTGCTTGTTGTGTTGTTTGTGGTTTTTGTTTGTGTTGTTTGTTTTGTTTGTTTGTTTGTTTGTCTGTTTGTTTGTTTGTCTGTTTGTCTGTGTGTTTGTCTGTTTGTCTGTGTGTTTGTCTGTTTGTCTGTCGTTCTGTCTCTCCATCGCTCTGTCTCTCCGTCTGTTGATCTGTCTCTTGGTCTCTCTGTTTGTTTGCTTGCTTTGCTTGCTTGCTGCTTGTTTGGAAGCACCTTCTTCGGCCACCCTTGTCTGTCGATCTCACCATCCGTCCCCAGCGTTTTGTGAACGCACGCACACACCCCGCCTACTGTGCCGTACTTTGGCACATAGCTACGCACATCAATAAGGAACCACCTAACACCCAACAAGTTGTTGGTGGACAGGAACCCCTTAAATGTCCACTGCCAAAGAGCCCCCTATCCAGATTCACACCCAGGACCCTCCAACAAGACCCCTCGAACTCTGCTCTGACGTACTTTGCTGAAGGGCATCCCTTTGTTTTCCTGATGTGTCAAACGGGAAAGCCTGATAGGCTACTAGAAATGCGCCCGGTTAAGATCTGAGCTGAAGGGGCTTCCAACAGGTTGGGCCTTGGGAAACCGCTGATCCTTTTGAAGTCAACCAGGAAGGGTCTACTTTTGACGCCCATGTCAACCATTTTTGCCTTGGTTCCCTCTCAGGCGCCCTTCCCGATTCCCCCCCATCTTCGGCCAGACGCGTTCGCCGCGCTAGGAGCACCGTGCAGACTTAGAGCAACGGCTCTCGCAGGTGGGGTCTCTGGGCCCTTCGGCATTTGATGGAGGTCATTTGGGCTACAATCTGTCCAAAAAAGAAGTAAAGATAAATACTTGTAAGTCAAGTCTGAAAGTAATAATGTCATACAAGAAGTCTTGACTCTCTGGAGGCAACGGCAGAGATGGAGAGAGAGATAGGGAGAGAGAGAGAGAGAGAGAAAGAGAGAAACAATGAGAGCATGCAACATAGAAAGGAACACACAATGTAAGAGCCCTTTTGAGTTTTGCTGTGGGGGGCCTTTGTTTCCAAAAGAGTGGGTTCAAGTGAACTCTTGAGGTGTTTTAAGAGCGTCGTCCTTTTTCAACACTTGCCATGGGAGTCACCGAACCACAAACACAACCAGGCAGTGCCAAATAGCTGCCACAGGCCTTGCTCAGAACTTGCAAAGCGCAAGGCCTTGCTTTTGGATCACACCTTTGGGTCTCAAGAAGGTCTTGGTTTCTGTTTACACCCAGCCTGAAAAAGAAAAGAACTGCAATGCACATTGGAGTTCACGCGCTCGCCAGAAACCGGAAAAGATCCCAACCCTGGAATGCCCCAGAACTGGCAAGGTGTTATGCCTTGTTGTTTGGTGGCCAAGTGCGTAACGTAACCTCGGGCGTTTCTTGGGTGAAAGCGGATCGCACAGTTTCAGGGACGTTTTGGGTATATTTGGCAAAGCCCAGGTTTGCTCCCCTGTGTCAGGTGCATGATGCGCATGGCCAGATGAAGGCCGCCCACGAGGCGGCCCCGAGAAACCCTCGGACGTTCTTTTGGGTTCGCGGGTGTGCGCTTAGCTCAGTTTACTTGAGAGCAGATGGTGCTGCTACCAGCGGTTGTTTCAGGAAATCACCCAAACCCTGGTTGAATATGGGCGGTTCGCAACGGAGTATACACACTCACAGCTCGACTTCTTTGTTTGGATGAGGTTGGCTCTGTGCTTGATGCAAGCTGTGTGTGTGTTCTTTATCTAGCAGTTGGTGATGTTCTTTGAGGTAGCTAGGACCCCTCTACAGATTTGTTCAGGATGATCCTAACCGAAACCTGATGCACGGCCTTTGCCTAGTGGGTGTCTTTTGAGGTGTGCTGAGTGATCTGGGTACAAAGAAACTCGTATGTTCAGGTGTTGCTTCATATTCAGCCCACAAATCAGGTGCTATGCGGTTCGTCTAGTCATAGTATCCCAACCCCCTTCCCAGCGGATGCGTCCAAGCGGGATAGGCAAATCTAATTGGAGTTCTAGGGAAGTTTAGAGTGTCTTCAGGTCCTTGGATGCCTGAATCTTTGCCAACCAACGTTGAGGGGGTTCCAACTTAGGCCTCGTAGCCACATTCCAGAATACGGGGGGCTTCAAAAAGCCCGGACGGATAGTGAGATCGTCTGGCAACGGGAACTGGGCCAAGGATGTCAACGTGGGCTGGGCGTGGCTTAAATGGGCGGGGTTGGTAAAATATATGATATTTTGGCCAGCGGTTGGGCCTGCCGTTTGCATAGTTGTTTTCAACACTTGTTGAAACACCCAGACACGCAGTGGTAGTTCTTGTTTTTTCTTCTGGCAAGAGTTTTCCTGTAAAGTCAAACCAACTATCAAAACAGGGGTGTCCTGGTTTTCCCATGGAATCCACTGGGGGTCTGGGAACGGGCGGTTTAAACACTTTAGTCCCGCACTTGCCCAAAGCGAATCGACCGGATCTAAACGTTTGGTTTCCCCTGATGTGATCCATAATTAGTCAAGTTTCCAACCAGCACTCCCCAACTTAGCTTTTATTTGTTTTCCCCATGTCCAAAATCCCAAGTAAAACCAACAAGCAGAGGTTTAGGGGCTGGGAGGGGTGACCTTCACGTGACCGCCCCGGATGTCGTTTTCCAGGACCTGGGCCTGCGGCTGGCTGGGCTGCACACGGCGCACCAGGAGCAAGTTCTGGCAGGCGGGCCCAAAGGGAAGCGGTTTTCGTCCATCCGAGTATGTCGGACTTTGCTCACTTTGTTTGGGTTTGGTTTACTTTTTAGTTTTTATGCGGCAAATTGAACTTTTGGCTACTCTGGTCCGGTCAACTCAGGTAGTCTTTTTGTGGCTACATGGGTACCCTTTTTGGGGTTGGATGAAAGGGACACAGGTAACGCCGAAATCCATTGAAATGGGGTCTCCAAAAAACACGCCAGAAAAGTTCTGACCAAGGCGGTGTTTGAATCACCCAGAGGGGTACATCAAACTTCCCCTGAACAGGGTTGTGGGAATTGCTGCTGCCGTTCCACCATTCAGGCGTTCCCAATGACGATATCAGAGGGGATGTTCCCTATCACAGAGCTGGTTGAACATATCTCATTCCCGGACCATCGAATTAACATTCTTCCCCTCGCCGCCTCTCTCTGAAGAACACACCGCAAGTGTTTTACGAGGCAACCTTGTTTTTTTTCAGCTTCCATTTGGGGCTTCCCAGAAGGAAGCCACCCATCTCACGCGAACCCAGGGCAGCAGGCCCTCGGCGCCCTGCAGGAGCGGAATCAAGGGAGTCCATGGCAACCTGGTGAGAGACCTGCGGTCAAATGCGGTTATATGACATCATGGTCCTGAAAAACGGGAGCTCCCCTTTTTTCGGATCTCAGTTGAGTCCTGTTGGTGCTGGCCCGAAAAAGGTTAACCTGTTGTTTCTGAATCCTTTGGGCAACTGAGAGCTGGCATTCCGGAATTCATTGAGGTCCTGAAATTGCATTGGATGCCCCATGGTTTTCATATGACAGTCTAACATTAGAAGCAGAGGCTCATGTGGTCTCTTCAAGTTTCATTTCGCCTGACCAGCAAAAGGCCGTTCCTATCAGGGTAGAATTCTGGCCCGGAGCTTCGTCTAGAAGGCTAGGGTTGGGGTGCGAGGAGCAGTTAACTGGTGGCAAGTGATACTAACCATTGGGCATATATGTTCTGTTTGCTTCTTTTGTTGCTTTTTCGGTCTTTCCCATTTTGGTTTTGAAGGGAATCTATCCCTACTGGGAGTTCTTCGGGGGACTTTCGCAAATTCAAGTTGTGGTAATAGAGAGGCTGATTCCATTCAGACATTTACCCATTTTGGTTGTTCGGTGGGCTTCCCAATAATGAGCCCCAAAAGGGGTTTCCTTTTTCTTGGAGTCAGTGGGCAACAAGCGGGGTTGCTTCAGGGGGCAGGCCGAGAGACACAAACTTATTTTGGAGTTTTTTGTGGTGAGCAAAACGTTTGAGCCTTTTGGGGCAAGAACCAAAAGTGCTTGGTAAAGAGACAAGAACCGCCGCCACCACTACTACAACTAGGACTATAGTACTAGGACTAGCACCAGTACTACTACTACTACTACTACTACTACTACTACTACTAGTACTAGTACTAGTACTACTACTACGACGACGGCGACTACTACTACTACTACTACAACTACTACTACTGCTGCTGCTGCTGCTGCTGCTGCTGCTACTACTACTACAGAATTTTCATCGAACACCGATGCTTCCAATGACCTGTAAAACGATAAGGAAGAAAAACACGATAACGGTGTCGAGGGTCAATTAAAAGGTCACGGGGTTGTCTTACAACCCCACATGTCATTATCGTACATTCTCGTATCTTCCTAATCGCAGGCAATTAGGGCTGTCCCCCCCTGCCAATTCCGCTGTTCTGGCCTTTGTGGGTTCACATGTGTGCTCTGCGTATGGGCGCAAACCAACTTGGACGGGAGAGATGTGTGGATGAGTGCTGTTGCACATGCTTTAGTAGAAGTGCCTGGTAGGTGAAAGGATGTGCTCAACTCACAAATCATGGACCATATTGTCCACGAAGGATGGCGAGCCCCTTAGGTCAAGAAAGGTGACTTTCCTTGTATACTGTCATGTTGGTTCATTCGTTGCTTTGGGCACCGACCAAATGATGGCATTGTTGACCATGCAGCGGTGCAATCATTGTGCTTGGCTCACCCGTCAAACGGCTTAAGATCCACTTTCTGGGTTTCGTTTCGCGCTTCAAGATTTTGGGTCTCGGACCATGTTAGTGGTACAAACCAATAAGTCGAATGAATTGAGTAACTTCTATCAGTGGCCGAGTTCGCTGCTTCGAGCCACCTCTGACGTGATTAGGACTACCACAAAGGACATGCATTGGAGTGGAAGATGATGGAAGGTGATGGAAGGTGATGGAAGGTGGTAAAAACTCCCTCCACCAAAATTGAAGGTGGCTTAAAAGCCAAAAAGCGAGGGTCCCCCTTCAAGCAAAGTGTTGGCCTCTGGCGCCCGCCTCCCCACGCTTTCGGGGGGGGGGAGCTCATGGGAGCTCTCAGGAGGCCACCACCAACGAGCTGCAACAGCACAGCTTGCAGCTCAGGAGCCATTACAGCAAGTGGGAGGCTGGGGGGTTTGCCCCCTTTTTTTGTTTGGCTTGCGGTTTTTGCAGTTTTTTTGCGGTTATTTGGGGAGGCCGGCCTGGCGCGGTTTTGTCTTTTGTTGTTGGCCTGGCGGAGGGGGGGGGCTTTGGCATTTTGCGTGCTACAACTCAAGCTACTGCCTGCCTCAGACAAGGCAATCAGCGGCGCTCCGCAAATAATAAACAGGTGTTTGTGCTTTGTTCTGCTGGAATTGCATGTTGTTTTTTGTTTCTTTCTTTTGAGGGGAGAGGGTAGTATTAAAGGGAAGGGATTGCAATATTGCAAGCGAGAAACCGCAGAGCGAGCACTTCATGACAGCTGACCCCCCATGACCCAAAGTGCAATTGAACGATGGTTCTTTGCGTCTGCGTTGTTTTTTCTCCCAGATGCAACAAGAACCATCAGCCACCAACACCACCACCCCAACTGTTGTCGTTTTGAGGTGAGTTCCCCAACCAAAAGGGTACTGCTTTGAGGGGATATATTGGGAACCCCGTTTTTGAAGGTCCTGGGAGGTGACGTCAGTGGCCGTTTTCTTTTTTTTCGCGGCAGGCGCACCGAGCCTCTTTGGAGGAGCGTCTTGAGAACATCGAGGGGGTCATGCGCCCTGGCATCCGACAGCCTGTCCTCCCTTGAGGCCCCCTAGGTCTCCCTGTTTGGTGGGTTGGAACGTCACCTTTTGTCCTTTTGGGCCCATTTTAGCGTGAGCTTCCTTTGACATTTGAGTGGGGGGATGTTCAAAGGGGACCTGTAGGGAGCCGCGTTTATCGGAACTTGTCGCGTTACTGGGTAGTGGGGATGGCCGACGCCGCCATATGTGTGATGTGTATCTTAGTGGTTTTGAGTTACGAAGGTCATAGCTTCTGCTCCCCTTCAGCCTGGCAGCTGGGGGATCTTGACGGAGTGGGGCAAAGGTTCGACTGGAAGCGGGTGACCCCACAAAAATCAAACACAAATTCCCCGACGCACGGGGAGGTGTGCTTGAAATAGCCCAGTGTGGGTAGTTACCCGATGAATGATAAGGTGTGCCAGCAGCTCTGAAACACGCAGCCAGAGGAAGAAGTGGCATTCCTACATTGACTTCTCATCCCATTCATTTCATCAGACGAGTCAAGGCAAAGCGATATCAAGCAACATCAGCAAACGGGAATTGACTCCAACTGTCAACTGATTTTTCCTGTGTGGCCTTCTGACAACCGCAGGAAAAAAGAAAATACAACATAGACGCGCGACTCCGCGGATGGATGCTGATGGATGCGGATCGCGGCGTTTTGAGGATGGAGTTCTGCGAGAAGCAGAGCAACGAGCTGGAGATCGCCCAGCGGAGCTTGTCAGAGGTGCAGCTGGAGCAACAGACCTGGCACCGGGAAAAGGACTCGCTGTGAAGCTGTCATGTTAAGGGCTTGATGGCCCCCTGGTTCATGAATTAGGGGAATGGCCCACTGTTAGTTCATTCGTGGCAATCCGGAATTCTTTTCTGTGTGACATTTCCCTAGTAAGATCGTTTGATTAATCTGGGGTTCCCGTGATTCTCCCAAGCATGGAAGCTGCCCGAAGGGATTGGAAGACTCATTGATTTTTGTTCTTTCCCTTTTGGGGAAGCCCACCTTTCCTCTCCCATGAGACGACCATAATCTAAACATGTCATGTTTCGTACAGCGAACGCCTACGGCTTCCAAGGCCGCGGGTACACCGCGGGTACCTTCCCTGAAAAGGACAGCTCCAAGCCACAGGGCTTCTCCGAGCTGAAAGGTGTTTTTCGATTCCCAGAGATATGGCTGTGGGTCAAAGAAAAAAACCATCTGCGGAATTGGACCGCAGGTCTTAGTCCATGTCTCCATGTACCAGGGCAAGCCATTGTGGGTACCTTTGTTTGACCCACAGCCCTAAGTCACTTGGGTTTCCTTGGCTCTCCCCTTCCAGGGGCCACATTTTTCTTCTGCGCCGGAGGTTTTTGCTGCAGATTGGCTGCCCGGCTGTCAGTTTACAGGGGTTGTCCTTGGTAGACCAGTACTTCTCTGCAGGTAAATGACATTCCTATCACATAGAAACCAGCACGGATGTCCGGAACTTCGCCAAACCAAGCCCAAACAGGGCACCATCAAACAAAAGACACCCCTAACCACGTAAGCATCCATACCTCCAAGACTCTTTGCAGTGAAAATGCCCGAAGTTGCAGGAAATCCTCCGGCCAGGAATCCTGGCGCGTTCTGGCGGAGCGGCTCCAGGCCCTCGAGTCTCTGCTGGGTACCCCGAGACGAAGCGAGGAGCGCACGCCCAAGAAGGTGTCCTACTACGTGCCTCGAATCAAAGCGCGGGTCAGTCTGGTTTCAAGGGAAGAAGAAAACTATTTGTAGGGCCCTATGGAACATGGTCTGCATTAGCTTACTAGCTTCACTTGAATGCGGATAAGATGCGAAACTAGGCTTTTTGGTGGCTGAAAAGCTCTTCCACTACACGCGACTTCCCACCAGAGTAAAAAACATGGGGGATATATCCTTACCCAGTGGCCCCAAGCTGGGAATGCTGTGCCGCATACACCTTGCCGTATTGTTTCCCCTTGTGCTCGCATATCGAGAACATGTACGCAAGCAGAAGGGTCTCTTTGTTAGGACGTATGCTTGGCCTTCCGACCACACATTCATGAGTCGGGTTCCACTTCGGAACAGAATCAATTGCACGAAGCCTCACTGCAGCATGGTTGCAGGCATGTTGCTGCAAAACAAGCAGAAGCATTGCAAGCGTTTGCCCGGCTTTCTGGGAAACCTCCAACAGTTCAAAGACCCATTGGGTATTTTTTGGGTGGCTCGACTCGGATGGCTCGAGGTGCGTGTTCCCAAAGGTAACGCCCAGAAAGGACCTCACTTACAACCGGTCGCTGGCTCGAAACATCCACGGGCAAATGCGTGCGAACCTGCTTAAACAACATTCAAAGTTTGAACGGTTGTTCATCACAATGGCGTCAGAATCCTATACAGCTGTTCTGCACATTGCCGGTTTCGCGGTTCCTTCTGGTTTGCAGAAGGTGAAGGCTGTCTGGCAAGGAAGAGGTAACGTTTGCCCTTTTGGTCAGTTGATTCAGCCTTTCTACCTCAAGAGGTTCAGCCTGATTCAGCCTAGCAATCTTGAGGCTTGTTTGATGTTGAAAGCATTTTGTGGTTGAAGTCCATTTGTGGCGTTGAAGTCCATTTGTGTGTTCGCAGGTCAACCAGGGTTTCTCTTTGGGTTGGGAGGCTCGAAATTGAGGGCGCTTCTAGCCCAAGTAGCCAAGGATCAATCATCACCAAGGCATTTTCAGACTGAAGATACCCCACCTCTCAAGGGAGTTTAGTATTCGGTGACCATCGGTGTTGGTTGAGGTAGCTCCGCGAAAGATTCGCGATGGAGTTGCGAAAGTAACTTTTTTTCTCGCGAAAGTTTTGCGTAACTGTATCTGGTTAATCAATGATATGTGGAACCGTTCAGCTTTTCTGCTGAGCCTTCCTTCTATTCTGATTAAAACACTTTGTTGATGTTGCGCTGATTAAGCCTGGTGAGGCTACAGTTTGATACCCTGCTTGGCTGGTTAGTGCTCCAAGCCTGTGTATGTGTGTCTGTGGGTGTTAGTCGGTGGCTTTCCGCTCTGAAACATGGGTGATTTTTCGCGAAAGTTCCGCGAAAGATCCGCGAAAGCCCGCGCGAAAGCGCAGGCTTCGATTGCAAGGGGAGGTATAGTCTGAGCGCCGATCTAGTCAGTATACTAGCTTGGTACTGGAAAGCTGCGACTTCAAGCTGGAGCTGCACGGCGAACGAAAAGGTGCGACTTTCCAGCCGGCGCATGTCATGTACTACCCCTGTGATGAAAAGTTGCGACTTTACAGTCATTTCGTTTTCAACGCTGGCACTTAAAAGCTGCGATTCTCCGACTCGAGAAATGAAAAGAGCACGGCGATGAATCCGCGAAAGATTCGCGAAAGTAACTTTTTTATTCGCGAAGAATGGCCGTTTCGAGACAAAGGAATTTAGATCAACCACCATATATATATATATATATTTCTATACATATGTATATATATATCACATCATGTATGTATCTGCATATAATCATATATCCAGGGAGGCTAAAGGCAAAACCATCCTTGCCCGCGCCGACGCAACACATTCCAACGCATTTGAACCCTGCGCCCCCTTGACCAACCCGTCGCGACCTGAGGTGAGCGTCTTCGACCGCTTCGGGGAGCTGGAGACGCGACTGGGGGAGGCCGTGGTTTACCCGGTGGGAACAAATATAGGGGATAAGATGTATCTATGTTGTTGGTGCCCCTGAATATCAGTGGGCACCTTTTTCGTTGCCTTGCTGAGTCAAGCCCCTCTGGACGCAACGGCAGAGAGAGAGAGAGAGATGAAGATGTATCAGATTCCCAGTGAGGGATCCCCGAGTTTGGACTTTTTGACTTAGCTGACCTGCTTGACCTTTGGCCTGTTTGTGTTTCCATAATTTCCCCTTTCGGCCGGCAAAAAGGCAACTTTGTGCACGGGGGCCTGGCCCAGTTCCAGAAGGGAATGGGGCGTTGGAATTCCATTTTTGCGGGGGAGATGTGGGGAGAGCCAAGCCACAAGGGGACGAAAGGGTGGCGAGCCACTCGAAATGATGTCCCTAGTAACTGACATCCTCAAAATTGCCCGAGCGCGGTAAAGAAGAGTTGTGCAGTACATCACGTACCTCTTGTTAATGGTTCCTTTCCTAAATGCACCCGGAGCTTTTTCATTGCCCCAGCTGCAGAGATGGATTGACGCGCTCACAATGGCCTCTTGGGGATTCCCTTCAGACTTGGGCATGTAAGCACTTGGCAGGATGAAAGGAAGGGCATACTTAAGGGGGTCCCAGAATGGGGAGGTACCCTTAGAACATGTTCCCCTTACAACCTGTTCCCAACCTATGGAGGGGTCCACAATGAAATGCAAGGGACCCACTGCCACTAGGGGCGTCGGCGAGATTTTCTACATTCCCCGAATGTCTGAATGTGAAGAACGCCAGGTGTGGCGCAGCTTAACTTCCACAAATCACCATGAGCATAAGCTCATGTGGTATCCCAGCAGCACCCCCAAGAACTTCGGGAACCCCGGCCCGTCATCTTGAACGACTCCAGAGCCTATTTGGACCCATCAACCCAAAGCTTGCAGCTGGACAAGTTCAACAAAGCTCATTTCACGCTCGAGTCCTCGAGTCCTCGAGGTGTTCGAGGAGCAAAGTCGAATCTGGAGCGCCTTAGATGGCCATACCCACGACCTCTCCAGCCACACCTTGAGATTCCTGGCATTTGGGGCCGGGTTGGTGGCAAAATGTGGTCAAAGCATTTCCCGGCCATTCAAGGGATTTCACAGGACGGTGAAACAAGGTGTGTTTGAATCGGTGCATGTTGGTGAACTTGGTTGGTGTAGTTGGCACATGGATTTGCAGGCCTGCTTTGTGTTTGGGGGGATCCCAATTGTTGGGGCGTCGGTGTGAATTTTTAACGCCTGGTTCCCAAGAGAATCACAGGACTAAGGCTAGTTCTATACCGACTTCGTCGAAGGATCCGGGTTTTGAAAAACCTGTTTTGGCTTAGCTTCACAGAACGGGGTGTATTGTGAGGGTTGTTTGATCTGTGTTTGTGCATTTGGGCCCCCTTGCTGATGTAGCCCTCACCGGTGTAGGACTGCTTGGCATCTTTTTCTGGGTTGCGGTGCTGCAATGTCAGCTCAACACAGTCGTTTGTGGGAGCCAGGAAGTTTGAACAACCACCATGGGTGTAAGCATCGATCTTTTTGGAAGCTGGTCCCGGAAATTCAGCGGATTCCCAATTGCAATTGCAGATATGGGTGCGTGTTTGTGTTTGTGTATTTTGAGGGTGTCCCTGTCAACTTGGTTTAAAGGGAAACCCAAAGGAACTCACTATTTGTAGCGTCACTTATTTTGACACATGCCCACATCACCTTTCTCGGCAATTAGACAGATGAGTTTTCCTTGGTGACGTCTAAAGGGGACATAGATGGACATAGCTATAAGGAATCCTTTTCATTTGCCTTGTCCGCTCAGGAAAAGTGAACAGCCGCGAGACGTCGCCCTCTTGCCGGGCGGTTTGGAGCAACGGTGCGCCCAGAGCGCAGACCGCGGCTCCGGCGGTGCCATCCACGCCGATGTCGGCAGCGCTGAGACACCCCGGTCAGCACCTTGCCACGAGTGGACTTAGTTTGATTTGTCGCCCCTTTCTCCCACCAACATGGCACCTGTGGGAAGGTATTTGGAACAAACATCAGTTTCCCATTGAAGAGCCCCCCTGTCAGGCAGTATGTTGGTGAGAGGGTGGTAGTCGTTTTGTTTGTGTTCGCTGGAAATGGTCAGCCCCTTCACGACTGTGGTCTA